CCTGGGAAAGCAGCAGAAGATGGGCCAAGTCCTTGGGATCCTGCACCCACATGGGAAGACCTGGAAGAAGCTCCTGGCTCCTGGCTTCAGACCAGCCCTGCTCTGGCTGTTGTGGCTATTTGGGGAGTAAACCTGTGGATGGAAGTGCTTTCTCTCTCTCATTCTCTCTGTCAAATAAATAAATCTTTTAACAAAAAAAGTAAGCCTGCCTTTGTTTGGGTGACTTATTTGTGAAATGAGAAGAATAAAATTACTTGTCTCATTGTGGTTATCAGGATGAGCTGAGCCATGGTTCTGTGAAGTATTGGGCAGGCTAGTTGGCACACAGGAAGTGTTTAATAAACACGAGGGGCCTTCCCAAAGTTTAAGCAAAATGAAATGAAGAGGTACATTTTTTGAGGGATCACAACTAAGACTGAAAACCACGCATATGTAAGAAGTTTTCAAAAACTTCATGAATCTCACAATGGTAACAACAAATGCGTTGCACCAGAAGCAGCCTGCCTTTTCATTCCAGTTCCCACAGACATATTAAAAGTCCCCTCATACCACCTGCGATGACTAATTGTACTCCAAATCATGCAGTTGTGGCTGAAGTCTTCCGAGCTGCTTCCTAGAGACTGAGTTATTTATGTGCACACTTAGGAAAATTATACCTTCAAGGCTTACTCCCTCTGCAGACGGACGGAGTTCCTGCTGGATGCTGCCACGCACGCTCAGCCAGGCCCCGCATTCCACTCACGCTCACTCCACTGCTTGCCTGGGAAGCACAGCTCGGAGGTCCTCTCCTCTGGGAAGTCTCCCCAGGAACCCCCAGGGAGATGGGCCACATCTCGTGGCGCCTGGTTGTTGTTGGGAGTGAATGTGCCCAACACCTCCCAAGGCGCTCATTTCTGAACTCTCGATGCTTTTCTCCAGGCCTATGATCAAGTATACGGCCGCTCGTAACACCAGATGACTGACACGGAAACGCTCCTGTCTTTGGCAAGCTGTGTAAGTGGGGCAGTGGGCGCGGGGAGTGTGTCTGCGGGACAGTGAGCCAAGACAAGTTGGCGATATCTCTTGCCAGTGAGGCCGGTTCAAGTCCTGGCTGCTCCGCTTCCCAATCCAGGTCCCTGTTGATACACCTGGGAAAACACCAGAAGATGGCCCAAAATGCTTGGGCCCCTGCCACCCACGTGAGAGATCAGCATGAACATCCTGGCTCCTGGCTTCTGTTTGGCCCAGACCAGGCTGTTGCAGTAATTTGGGAAAATGTATCAGGGGTTAGAAGCTCTATCTTTATCTTCTTCTTTGTAACTCTGCTTTTCAAATAAATATTAAAAATATCAAGCGAGGTAGCTTGAGAAACCTTGTTTTTGTATGATAACTTCTTCCTATTAGATGACAACTGAAACCCACTACATTATTACTAGAACATACTCTGCTGGCTTCTCTCTTGTGCTCATCAAACAACCCTGTGACCACACGGAGAGATCCTTGGGGACTGTGGCCTGTATTAGGAAATGGACTGAAGCTCCGGGCTCTTACTGGGTAAGTCCAACCAGAAATTCCGGCATTAGGGTGTAGCATCGATTTAAAAGCAGAACCGGACTCTGCAAGTGTTTCGATGAGGTCTCGGCTCCTGAAAGCCACCAACTGAGAGTTTTAATTCTGGGCTGCACAGCCGGTGCTGTGGTGCAGTGGCCTATACTGCTGGTGGTGACACCAGCTTTTCCCATCGGAGCGCTGCTTCCAGTCCTTGACTAGCCTGTTTCTGATCCAGCTCCGCGCTCACGTGCCTGGGAAAGCAGCAGAAGACGGCCTAAGTACTTGGGTTGCTGCTACGCGATTGGGAGAGCCGGATGGAGTTCCAGGCTCCTGGTTTCAGACAGGCCCAGCCCCGGGGGAGGGAACCAAGGCGTGAGCATTTGCCTCTCCCTGTCACTCCGCCTTTGGTGTAAAAAAATAAATCTTCTGGAAGCTTTTCTGTGTTGCTTCTTTTATGGCAGTATTCCCACGTCTGGGAGGTGCCATGACCAGTGACAGAGAAGAAGATATTATTAACAGAGGAGGCCAGTAGTAGCTGTAGGTGAAGCACGGCTGAGTGACATTCGCGGCATCCTGCTCCCCCTTCCTGTGGGTTCGGATGTGCGATTTCAGTGCATGGTGGAGGAGCGGGCATGGGCGAAGCCATGTGAAGTATGCCACTTTGGCCAAGGGTTGCTTTGACCTTCCAGGAAAAACCAGTGACCCTGGGGTGGGGTGGGGGGCCTCGGGGGGGGGCATGGCATTCCCTCAAGTTTAAATCAGTTTCAGAATTGTCAGAATCAACCTCTCGGGAGTCACACCACGGCTGGGAGGTGAGGGCGGAGCAGTCTGTGCAGCTGGCCTGCGACCCTTCTAAGTTCAGATGCTTGTCAGCTGGGGGTCAACTTTATTTACAATGTGTCTGCTTACTTTTTTTTTTTTTTTTTTAAAAAAAAGTCTCCATTGGCCCGATCTTGAGGCCATTATCTACCTTAGGAAAAACAAAGAGGGCCCGGTGCCTAGGCAAGGTGGCAAGGTGCTGACCTCTGCCCAGGGTGTGTCCTGGCCTGCCTAGGGGTCTCCTCTGTGACTCTCCCTTGCCACGCCCAGGTCCCGCCCGCCCAAGTGGGGGTCCCTCCAGGGCTAGCAGGGATCCTCCTCCTCCTCCCCAAAGGACTGAAAAGAGGTGGCAACAAAACAAACCCCAAAACCACCCCAACAGAGCTCCCCCAGTGTGGCGCCAGGTGGCCGCTGCCTCACCCGGCCTTCGCCCCGCGTCTCCGCCCCACCTCCCCCGCCCATTCCCTTTCAAGAAAAACACACCCCAGGCTCAAGGAAGCTGACATAAACATCCTGAGGAAATAAACCCCGGGAGCTTCATTTCCCCGAGGAAATAATCAGCACCCCTGGCCCCAGACAGCTCCAGGTGAGCCAGTCCCGTGCCATCACCTTGGCGCTCTCCAAAGCGAAAGGGCTTTCGCCAACCTGGCTCTGGATGCGCCGGCGTGCGCCCATCTATTGTCACCCAGAATCCTGGCAGGCACCACGAGGCGGCTGGGGACAAGCACTGTACCCTCTTCCCCTAATTTAAGCAGTCTGTCTCTTGGCAGATTCAGGAGAGCCTCTGCCTTCGACCCCCGCCCGCTTCCCCACCCTGCACCCCAAGACAACTCCCGGACAAAGCAAGTCCGTGGTCACGGCCCACAGGGCCTCCTGGGTCCTCCGCGTGCGAGCCGGAGAGTGGACCTCGGCCGCCCGGGGAAGCTCGACTCGCAGCGGGACGTACGGAGCGCGCCGAGGCAGCCGTCTCCGGAACAAAGAGGAGGCGCGCGCGTGTTTGTGTGTGTGTGCGCGCGCGCGCGCGCGGTCCGAAGGGGCGTCCGCTGAGTGGCGGATGGTTGGGGGGAGTACTGCGCGCCCCACCCCGGCCCGCCCATCAAAACCTTCTTTTTCTTCCCTGGCGCGCTCTTAGCGGGGGAGAGGTCTCTGAGACAGCCGGGAGAGGGCGCCGCTCGCCGTCCCCACCGGCCGGGCCCGTCGCCCCATCCCTCAGCCGCCACCCCTATTCCGACGGGCGCACAAAGAGCGGGCGGGAGCGGAGCGCACTCCTCCCGGCGGGGCGGGGCCGGCGCGCGCTCGGCCGCATCCGCCTTAAAGGGCCCGGGCGGCTCGTCGCGCGCACTGCGCAGGCCCGGCCGCGGGCAGGGGGCGGGGAGGCGAGGCGAGGGAGGGTCCCGGGCGCGCTGCTGCTGCTGCTGCTGCTGCTGCTGCCGCTGCCCGCTGGCTGCCGCTATGGCCGGCGTGCCCGCGGTGGCGGCTCGGCGCTCGTGCGCGTGGCAGCGCCCGCGGGGGCTCGCCGGGCGTGTACAGGACCCGGGGGCCGGGCATTCCGGAGGTCGCCGCGCTGGCAGGCGACTCGCGGGCTCGCCCTAGGGGGCTTTCCGATCTGCAGTGTCCAAGCGCCGTGGGACGAAGCGCTGTCCAAGTCCAAGGGGACAAAAAAAAAAAAAAAAAAGTGGGCGCGGGTGCGCGCGCGGGAGGGGAACCGCGTGGGCGGGAGTGAGCCTTTGTGTCGCGGGCGCACCCGCGCAGGTGGGCAGCCCGTGCCGGGACTCGTCTTCCGTGTCCGAGGGCTTGGGGCTTATCCATTGGGGACTGGCGACAGGCCCTTCTCCTAGTGGCAGCTCTCTGGCTTCACGGATGGTCTATGGTGGTGAAGAGGGGGCACTAACGGGACTTTCTAAGGATCGCTCTTCCAGAGCCGTGTCCCTGGCGGCGTCCGAGTTGGGCGCGTTTCCTCCTTGCTGTCTCCGGCGAGGGAGCCGACTTGAGGGATGGCGATGTCCCCCGGCTGCTAGGTGCGCACAAGTGTCCCAGGCCTTGCCAGCCCCGCATCCGACAACAAAGAGAGGCGTTAGCGGCGGCGGCGGGGGAGGGGCGCGGCCGGCGGGGCCGGGGCGGGCTGCGGCGTGGGGGGAGGCGCTCGCTCGGCCCCGCGGCCTCCGCCCGCCCCCGGGCCGGCGCGCGCGCCAATCGCCTCCCCCAGCGATAGTGTCAGTAGCATTGTAGTGTCAGCTCCCGCCGGTGACGTTGCGCCTCCCTCGTCCCCCTCCGGAGCCGTCTGGCTGCAGAGGCTCAGTCAAGAGGCGGGGAGCAGAGGAGGAAAAAGCGCTGAGTGAGGGCGGGCGGGCGGGCGGGCGGGAGGGAGTGGAGGAGCTGGGGAGGGGCTCCTTAAAGCAACGCTGCTGTCGCTCGCCGGCTCGCTTTTGCGCTCGGCTTTTGTGGCCAGCCAGCCGGGCACTCGGGGGGCACGCGCGGCCGCCGCTCGAGCTCTGCCCCCACCCCGCCCGCCCGCCCGCCCGCCCGCCTGCCCGCCTGCCTGCCTGCAGCCCTTGGGGTGGGGACCCCGGCGGGGGCTCCTGCAGTCGCTGCCCGGTGCGGAGCGCGCGCGCGGCGGCAGCGGCGGCGGCAGCGGCGACCCGGTCCTCCTCCCGACGCCGAGGAAGGAACGACGGAGCCCTCTGCAGCTGGCCGGCCTCCCCGCCCCTGACCACCCGTTTCCCGGCTGCCCTTTGTGGCCGCAGCTGCTGGCCGCCGAGCCTAGGGCCGGCGGGGGCGCAGCGCGCACGGCCGAGCGATGCCCAGCTCGCTGTTTGCCGACCTGGAGCGCAACGGCAGCGGAGGGGGAGGCGGCGGCGGCGGTGGCGGGGGCGGCGGCGGCGGCGGTGGCAGCGGCGGGGAGACCCTGGACGACCAGCGAGCCCTGCAGCTCGCGCTCGACCAGCTGTCCCTTCTGGGGCTGGACAGTGACGAGGGCGCCTCTCTGTACGACAGCGAGCCGCGCAAGAAGAGCGTGAACATGACCGAGTGTGTGCCGGTGCCCAGCTCCGAGCATGTCGCCGAAATCGTGGGGCGGCAAGGTGGGTCGGGGCGCCTGGGGTGTCGGGGCCACTCGCCTGGCAGGGAGAGGGCTGGGAGCGCGATAGGGAGCCGCGGCGCTGGGGGCGCCTCGGGGGAACCAGGCAGCGCCGCGCGGAGGGGCCGGCGCCCAGACAAAGAAAGTGCGGGCAGGCTGCCTCCCGGAGCCGCGCCGCCGCCCCAGCAGGACACACTTTCTCCTGCAGAAACCTCTGCTCTCTTCCCCGAGTGCCCCCAGCCCGCCCGGGAAAGAGAATCTACAAGATGCTTGGTGGTGCTAGGGGGGAGGGGGATTTTGATCGGTCCTTGGGGAGGGGGGAGGAGAAGGAGGAGGAGGAGTGAGCGAGCATCGGATGGGAGGGTTTCTGCAGAACGCAATGGAGAGCCGAGGAGGAACAATGGGTCCCGGGACTGCTTTCCCCCTACTCCGCCCCATACCCTCCCGCGAAGTCGCCCAACGTGGAGGACTCGCGGTCCCTCGAACCCCTCGTGCGCCCGCGTCTTGCGGGAGATCCCAGCGGCATCTCCCCAGATGACTTTTCTGGGATTCTCGGTTTTGGCACGGGACGACTGCAGTCCCTGGAGGGGTGGGGTGGGGGAGAAGGACCAGGCAGCCAGTGGGCTGTTCTTCCAGCGCCTCGCGGGTGGAAGCCGCGGCACAGCCCGTGGCGCGGCCCCGAGGTTAGGGCGAGAGGGAGACGCCCCCTCGCTTCCCCACGCGCTCGCGTCCCGGGCGCGGAGGCCTGCCCCCGTCGCCTCCGCGGTAACCCCGGGGGTAATGGGCGTGTCTCCTCTATCTTCCTTCTTCTCCCCTTCTCCCGCATGCCGGTCTCCCAGGTTGTAAAATCAAAGCGCTGCGGGCCAAGACCAACACTTACATCAAGACCCCAGTTCGCGGGGAGGAGCCTGTCTTTGTTGTGACGGGCAGGAAAGAGGATGTGGCCATGGCTCGCAGAGAGATCATCTCCGCGGCCGAACACTTCTCCATGATACGCGCCTCGAGGAACAAGAACACGGCGCTCAACGGCGCCGTGCCGGGACCGCCCAACCTGCCCGGGCAGACCACCATCCAGGTGCGAGTGCCCTACCGCGTGGTGGGGCTCGTGGTGGGGCCCAAGGGAGCCACGATCAAGCGCATCCAGCAGCAAACGCACACCTACATCGTTACGCCCAGCCGTGACAAGGAGCCCGTGTTCGAGGTGACAGGCATGCCAGAAAATGTGGACCGCGCCCGCGAGGAGATTGAGGCGCACATCGCCCTGCGCACCGGCGGCATCATCGAGCTCACGGACGAGAACGACTTCCACGCCAACGGCACCGACGTGGGCTTCGACCTCCACCACGGGTCCGGCGGGTCCGGCCCGGGCAGCCTCTGGAGCAAGCCGACGCCCAGCATCACGCCCACCCCCGGCCGCAAGCCCTTCTCCAGCTACCGCAACGACAGCTCCAGCTCGCTTGGCAGCGCCTCCACAGACTCTTACTTTGGGGGCGGTGGCGGCGGGAGCAGCGGCAGTGCGGCCGCTACCTCCCAGCGCCTGGCGGACTACAGCCCCCCAAGCCCCGCCCTCAGCTTTGCACACAACGGCAACAACAACAACGGCAACGGGTACACCTACGCGGCGCCGGGGGAGGCCCCTGTGCCCTCGCCAGATGGCTGCCCTGAGCTGCAGCCCACATTTGACCCGGCTCCAGCTCCCCCACCCGGGGCGCCCCTGCTCTGGGCCCAGTTCGAGCGGTCCCCAGGGGGCGGACCCGCAGCCCCGGCGTCCTCTTCCTGCTCTTCCTCAGTCTCTTCGTCCGCTTCCTCGTCCTCCGTGGTCTTCCCTGGGGCTGGTGCCGGTGCGCCCTCCAATGCCAACCTGGGGCTGCTGGTGCACCGCCGGCTGCACCCGGGCGCCAGCTGCCCGCGCCTGTCTCCGCCCCTGCACATGGCCCCGGGGGCTGGTGAGCACCACCTGGCGCGCCGGGTGCGCAGCGACCCGGGCGGAGGCGGCCTGACCTACGCCGCCGCCTATGCCAACGGGCTGGGGGCGCAGCTGCCCGGCTTGCCGCCGTCGGACACTTCGGGCTCCTCGTCGTCGTCCAGCTCTTCCTCCAGCTCCTCGTCCTCCTCCTCCGGGCTGCGACGCAAGGGCAGCCGCGACTGCTCCGTGTGCTTCGAGAGCGAGGTGATTGCTGCGCTGGTGCCCTGCGGCCACAACCTCTTCTGCATGGAATGCGCTAACCGCATCTGCGAGAAGAGCGAGCCCGAGTGTCCGGTTTGCCACGCGGCGGTCACTCAGGCCATCCGCATCTTTTCCTGAAGGCAGCGCGCGCATGTGCTTGCGCAGATTTGCGCGGGGGGGGCCTTGCCTGGCAGAGAACCCGAAGCCCTCTCCACCCTGTACCACCTCCCTGGCCTGCCTGGCTTGTTGGTGCCCGGTTTTCCTCCCCTCCCTGTTCCTCTCCAGCACACTCTGAGATCCGAGAGAGGAGCTTGGAAAGCTGTAGTATCCGCTCTTTTTTTTTTTTTTTTTTTAAAAAAAAACCTCTTCTTCTCTCTCTCTCTCTCTTTTTTTTTCTCTAAGATTTAAGTTTTAAACAAAGAAACTTGCCAGAAATTATCTGCATCTGAGAGTACTGTACCCTGGGAAACTTGCGAACCACCTGAACATGCATGCTGTATATGTAATAGGAACGGCCGCAGTCTAGTGATGTTAGTTTTTACACTGTACCCACCTAGGAAGCTCCCGAAAGAGGACCCCCCCCAAAGTGTCCCATTCGCTCACCGTAGGAAGAAATGAACAGCAGTGGACTCTTGCCCAGTGCATCCCCTCGTGGGTGGGTTCCTGTGACGCTCATTGCAGAATGCCACGGATCCTTTACCGAGTGTCCATGGCAGGGCCAGGAGTTCCCGTGACACCAGGATACTGCAGCTTTATTAAAAAGAAACTGTAACATATCTCTTATATATTAAAAAAAAAAGAAAAAAAAAGTTTAAAAAGTTTTAAAGAGAAATTGCATTAATACAGATTGAAGTATTTTATTCTTTTTTGACTTGAAAAATTATATTTCATATTGCAAAGATGTTTACAAGTATTTTAATTTAAGTTCAGTGAACTTTTTGTAGCTGGGTTAAATCTTTTTATTTTAGTATGGCCTTAGGGCAAAGAACACTGTATTATTTTAATAATCACACAATTGTGATGGAATTACAAACCATAAAATGTGTAATGTTTTGAACAGTATTCTGTTGGGATGGAGATTTTATAGGTTCAGGCAAATCTAGATCTGCTTCACCCAGCATATTTTCTATTCAGTGATATAAAGCCTATTTTATTCTATATTATTACAAAAAAAAAAACCCCACAAAATGTATAAACACGTCAAAAGGAACTGTTGACGCTTTCTAACATTTGTATAAATAGAATTCAGTGCAAGTTACAAAAATTCTGTTGCACCACTATAGTTTTAGTATTTCTATTTTAATACATTTGTTTACCACTTGTTTATGTATATGTAGGTGACGTTACTTGAGCTTAAATGTACTTTACCGAGCAAAGTTTAAAAAACAAAGTATATTTTATTTTATGATAAAGGGCCTTTAACCTCATGGTCAAATACTAATATTATATTTGCTGAGACAAGATTTGAAATTGTATCAAGAGTTTTATTTTTCTGACATTTAAAGTTCTACATAATAAAGGTAAAACTTAAGTAATGGTGCTACTTCATTTTTTAAGTATTTCTATATAAATAAAATATTGAAGAAAATCTAGGTTGTGTGGTGACTTGATTTCTTAAAACATCTGGAACTGTTGCTGCTTAAGGAAGGGTGAAGTTGAGGTGCCTGAGGGGGTGGCCTAAAGTTCATGGAAGCTATATATGCTAGGAAAGCACTGCGCACGAATTGCAAAGGTTTTTGGCCCCCAAGTTAACCTGACTTTTGAATCCCTTGGTATAACTTGCAGTCACATTATGTTTTGAGTCTTGTAAAGTTTTTGTAAAGAGGTGGGAGGTATGGTTTGGTGGACCCGTGGGCCTGCTGAGCAGTGCTGTGTACAGACGGTGGGTATCTGCTGAATCGGGGCCTGTGTTGTTCCGTCACAGAGGCAGAGTGCATTGCACCTGCCATATTTATAGGGGTCCAGGAAAACACTGAACTCTAGAACAAAAGGAAAAAAAAAAAAAGCATGCAAAGGTTTTAATTTCTAGCCCCACCAACTCGTTCCCTCAGCCCCCAAATTAAATTTGGCCTAACAGGTAAAGGTAATAATATTAAAGCACTTATGGTTGTATGAGAAATTTTAAAATGCGTGTTGTGGCTGAGGAAGGGGCCCAGGGAAATCCGGAGGGTCCTGGGTGGGCCCTAACTATAGAGGGCTAGTAGGGCCTGCAGTGTATAGAATAGAGAAGTGGGTCTTGTCTGTAGTGGCATGCCACTTCCTGGGGGTGTGGGGACATGGGGGAGGCCCAGGGCAGGAGGGGTGGCCTTTTCTGCTTGCTGGATTTGAGCACTGGTCTTAGCAGCCTTCTGCTTGTAGGGCAGGCTAATTGGTGTTGACAAGCTGCGGGTGTTAACTGTTTGTTGTTGCTTGAGGGGAGTTTCTGTGCTTTTGGCAGGCTGCACCTGCTCCCTGGCTGTGAGGGCTTTGTGGAGGGAGAAGCTGAGGGGCGTCCACCTGCCCTGAACTCTGTGTTTAGGAATGACCAGACCCAGCTGCTGGAATTCCAGCCACCTCGCAGCAGGCTCGGCTGGCCCCTGGAAAAGCAGCATCTGGTGGGAAGGTGGCCAGTTGTTTAGCGTAGTCTTAGCAGATGAATTCAGAGAAAAGGGTACACCCATAGCGTGTGCAGGGTCCCTCTTTTCGCTTTGTGTTCGTTTTAAATTTTTGTCTGGAGGTGGTTCTACTGACTGCCCATGTAGCTCTTGCTTTGCTTGGTTTCCGTGACAAATGCGTCTTTCGGTGGGAGGGGAAGAAGTGGCCCTGTCTAGGGACTTGCTGGCAGCATCTTCAAGTCTGCAAAGTTAGCAGGCAGCGCTTCTGCCCTTCGCTTCTTCATGGAGGCCGGGAGTCCAGTTGAGACTTGGAGAGAAGAGACCACCAAGTCCAGTCCCCGCTTTTCTCATTTGTCTGGAAGTGCCCAGGACAGAACCAAGACTCTTTAAAAAAAAAAAAAGTGATATATTTATTTATTTATAATTGAAAGAGTTGACAAGGAGAACAGTCCTCTGGTTTGCAACCCGATGACCTCAGTGGCCAGAGCTGGGTTGATTCAAAACCAGGACCTGGAACTTTTTCCTGCGTCTCCCACATGAGTGGCAGGGACCCAAGCACTCAGGCCTTCTTCGCTGCTTTCCCAGGTGCATTGGCAGGGAGCTGGACTGGAAGTGAAATAGCTGGGACTCAAAGCGGCGCCCAAATGGGCTATGGGTGCCACAGGCAGAGGCTTAACCTACTGCGTTGGCGTCTAAGGGGCTTCCCAAGTGCCTTTTGTGCAGGTGACCCCTGGCTGCAGCCGTGACAGTCCTCCAGCTAGGCAGATGACAGGTGCCACCCCACGTGCCCTCTAGTGACCAGCAGCCTCCACACCCAGGTCACCATATACATATCCCTCTCGTGACTCTTCTAGACTTGATTTCTTCATAGAGATTAGGGATCCTCAAGGGGAGAGGGGATGGTGATTTTGCAATTTGTTGTTATTGTATGAATACGTGGAGGCTGGGGATGCTAATATTCTACAGGGTCCAGGAGAACCCCAACATCAAAGGTTGAGAAACTGATACAGGCAAAGCAAATATTGACCTCCCTGCCTTGACGTGGGTGGTTCTGTTCCAATGAGGAAGAGCCTGAAGGTTGACTCTCAGTCTGGAATCACCCATTGCCCAGGGCTGTTGGGGTCCGTGCAGTGGATGTGGGGGACACGAAGGTGTGAAGAGTATTGTTCCATTGCAGGCAGGGCTGCAAGGAACTTCCCGCTGTTTGGCAGGGCCCGGTGGACGTCTCTACAACCACCAGAATGCAGCTCCACCTTCCTTTGCACGGACACTGGACCACCCTGCGGAAGAACTCTAAGCCATTCAGGCATTGTTTGCTACTGTGGAGTTGGCTTTTTTACTCAGTGTGAGCTTGGAGGTTAATGTCAATAATAACGTCTTGCAAAAGGGCCTTCTATTATTCTTACTGTCTTGGCTGTCCCCATTGACCTTATGCTAATCGAGGGACCTGTATTTAGGCTTTCATTCTTTCCTTGATCTTTAGGTTCTTCTTTTCTTTGGATGCAAGATTGAGTTGTAGAATAAGAATTGCAGCAAGAACTTCTATTGTTTTTAGGTAAGACAAATGGCAGAATTATCCTTAGATACACCCAGTTGACCATGACGTAAAAGTCCTGAGCCAGATTTTGACTAGTTCTGTATAAATAAAGCAGACAGCTTTATTGCATTATCCACAATCATCATGGAATCCTAGTGGTCCGTCTCTCTCTCTTTGCTCCTCATCCACGCACCCTTCTCGAGTTCCGAACTCAGCTGGAGCTGGATCCGGCACAGGGCAGCTCTTGGTATCTCAGGGACATTGTCAGAAGGACCAGGCTATGCCTAAGCACAAGCCACAACCAAGGGACCTTCGGACATCGCTTGATGATGCGGATGCCTGAAGCACTTTCTCCTCTCCCCTGTGGTCCTTCCCCAGCTGGGAGGCAGGTAGCTTGGAGGGTTCACTCTGCCCACTTGGACAGTGAGATGCAGATCCTCAGGACACAGCACTCTTCGATACACACTTGGGCTTTCAACCTCCCATTTTACCCTCACAAGTTCTCTGTGGCTGGGAAGAAACCCATGAGATTCTCTGAATCGATCTGTGCCAATGGCTTTCACCCTTACTCTACCAAGTTGGGCTGTGGGGGAAGGCTGTCATATCCTCAGGGAATTTTAGCCACTCATTGTCTGTTTGGTCTGAACTTCCTGAGAAATCGGAATGAATCTGGGCTTTCTTTGAACCTGCTTTGTGGAGGCAAGGTGCCTTGAAAGAGATGGACCTTGTAATGACCACACTCACCTTTTCTCCACCTGGAGCAAGAAGGCCGCTCCCTTCCTGGCTTGACCAACATGCTTTTTAATGTTCAGCTCCAATGCTTAGCCTTCCTCTTCTCCCTGACACAGTCAAGACTGGCCTTGCTGCCCAGTGATGCTGAAAGTACCAAAAGCTCTGTCTCTTTCCTGGTATGGGATCACCTGCTTCCTGGGCCGTGGAGAGTGGGCAGGGCCAACCCCAGTGGCCCAGCAAGTTTGGTGGTGAGCTCCGTGGAGTCTTCAGTTTCCATGTTGGCCTGTGCAAAGGACCTTACATGAGTTCAACCCAGTGGGTTACATTGAGGAAACTCCTTCAACTCTACCTGCTGAGTGTGCTGAAGTGCAGGGAGAGGCCCTGCATGAGACCCCACGGTCAAGAGGCGTTGGCCCTAGAAGCACAGCCTTGACTCTGTCCAACTCCAAAGGTCTCATCTTGAGCATTTCAGAAAAGGGACTTAAAAAAGGTTGATGTCTTTGAAACGCAGAGTGACAGCCTTTCAACGAGAGACAGAGGTTTTCCCTTTGCTGGCTTACTTCCCAGTTGGCTATAAGGGGCAGGAATGGGCCAAGCTGAAACCCTTTGCTTGGGAATATCATTTGGGTCTCTCTCACAAGTGGGTGCAGGGCTCCAAGAACTTGGGCCCTCTTGCTACCTTCCCAGGTGCAGTAGCAGGAAGCTGGATTGTAGGAGACATAGCGAGGACACAAACCCAGCACTGCGATATGGGATGCTGATGTTTTAGGCCACAGATTAACTCGGTACAGCACAACGCTCCCCTCCCCACCCCACCCCAGCCCCATGTGAATTTTATGAGGTATTGTATATTCCGAAAAAGAGACATTTCACCTGTCACCAAGTATTCCATCCCAGAAATGTTTTCCTTGCACATCAGAGAAATGTAACTGATTGGAAAAACCAAGCAGGGCCAGATTGAAGCCACTCACATGGAGAGCATGTTGTAAGACCAGGGCCACTTCTGTGATGCTAACCTCAAACCTGCCACCTCACATCTGTTTAGTGACTGACCGAACAATCCACATTACCCTCATTCTGTTACATTGCCTTTTTAGGAAGACAAAAGTAAGTTAAGCATTTGATGAGAACCAAATGAAGACAGACTTCTCTCCCTTTTAAAAAAATGCTCCATAAAAATGTCACATGAACTAATTTAGGCAGAGAGGAAAAGAAGCCAAAATCCTGGCCTGGAAATGAAATGTGGTCCATTGTTGGGCTTCTGCAGTGCCAAGCCCTTTGTTGGACTTCCTATTATTGTTATTATTATTATCTTCCACTGACTTAATTTTCTAGGGCATGGAATAGAATCGTAGCATCTGGGCATGGCCTAAAAATGGCATATTGGATGCTAACCAATCCTTGAGTCGTTAACATTGGTTCCAAACTCAGGGCATGTTTTTATGCAAGACGTGGGGGAAGCAAATGGCGACGTTGCCACGGAGTTTGCTTTTCTGTGCAAAGGGCAAAGGTGTACTGACTTCCAAGGCTACAGGACTTGCTCGGCTCCTCCTGGGGGCTTTATGTGGCACACCCTAGCCCCTTCCACAGTGGTCCTCCCAGTTACCACTTATGTTGTTTTTCACTTCCTCTCTAGACTGAAATATGCTTTGAAGGCAGGGACCTTTG